TCAATAGGTGACAGATCTGGACAGCTAGAAACCCATTTCAAAAGTGGTACAGTATTTTCTTCCATCCATTTTATAGCCTTTTTTGAGGTATGGCACCATCTTGCTGAAACACAAAATCTTGGCCGGATGTCAAACATTCTTCCATCACAGGTAAAAGCGATTCTTCTAAAATTGCCAAATATTTGTTTGTATCCACATTTCCATCAATAAAGAGAAGTTTTCCTACTCCTTTTGATGACATACTGCCCCAGACCATAATGGATGCTGGAAATTTCACTTTTTTTTATAAGAAAACTTACCTTGCAAGTGCTAAATCCCAGTTTGTGAGCCTCTCTATGAGTTGCGGACCTCAAAATTCTCCTTCCAACAGCGTCATTCCACAGAGCACTTAATTGGAAATAATTGGCTCGCCTGTTTTTCACGATTATTCTTCTTAATGCTCTTCGGTCGGCATTGTGATATTACTTTTTTTCACATATCGTGGCTTAATATTAACTGAACCAGTTACGTTATATCTTCTGACAATATTTCTCACACTGTACCGCGATAAGTCTAACAAAGTTGCAATTTCTGAGTTTGATTTCCCAGAATTAAAAAATTAATTATCAGTAGCCGAATTTTCTCACTAATAACCTTTTCTCTACCCATTTTGAAAACCTTAACTACCCAAAACTATTTTAAACGTATTCTGACAGCTGTGATTAATAAAAACAATTGTCATGGCTTTTATTTTTCACAGCCACCTATGCGTTATAGACTTATTTTGCATTGACATGAAAATAGATTGATATGCTGTAATTGCAACAGTGTGTTTTTCGTTCCTGTAGAACACTTTCGATAGAATCCCAAAAAACACGTTTTCTCATTCTTTGTTGTCAAATAAAAAGTTTTCCCACAAAAATTGGTGTACCCATTTTATGCGTCCATGTTTTGAATACCCCCTTGATCAGCTTGCAGCAATAAAACCAGTCATTACAATTGTTTCCCAAACCAGGGATATTTTCGTCTAATATGATAAGATCAGCCTCCTGGTGCAATACAGGGCAAGGCTGACAAAGGAATTGATGTATCAACTTGATTTTCAACTAATACAAATTTTGAACAATAAATTGTAGATAAAGGTAAAATATGGAGCTAATAATCGACCCAAAATTTTGGCAAGTCCAAAATACTGGTACAAAGAAAACTGTGCCCGTGGGGTGCTTCGTACTAATTAAGCACTAAAAAGTATCAGAGATCAGAGACCAATGAAGTCAGGAAAGGTAATAGCCATAAGCAGTCCACTTCCGTTTCCAATCAGTTCTAGTCAAAGTCAAAGTAAGACAGTTCTAAGTAAAATGCTACGATAAAAAAAGAAGACAGCGTAAATATAGGCTGTCATGAAAAGAAAATCAGGTAAGGCAAAGATAGACTGTTACGAAAAGAAAAAGTCTATCCTCAGTCAAGTGCTGCCTTTCTTCTACCTTTTAAAGTCAGTTCGAAGAACTAAATAAAAGGAAGAGAGGTTCAAGATTTCCCGGAGGAAGGCAACCTCCATTCCAACACCAGGGTGCGTGCCGATCTAGACTGCGCAACATGGCGGACAGTCAAGATGAAAAAAAAAAGAATCAGAAAAACCAGCACTTACTTCAGGACAGTGTGGATGTCCTTTCCGGCAACACCAGATGAAATCTCCCTCCTTACTCTTTGAAGATATGCCCAATGGATGGTAGACAGATGCTATTATTCAGCTTCCCAGACAGATTAGTATCTAAAAAACAAAAATAATAAAAGAATATATAGTAGGAGAACTGCTCAAAGATACTAGATGGATAAAATACTACAAATTAGAGTTAAGCGATTCACGGGCACCTCGAGAGATTCCTGAAGGCCCGTGATCTTACTTTTCGGAAGCCCGTGCTAAAAAAGGAGTCATCTCTGGATCGCTACAATTTTGTGCAAGAAATCAAAAGGATATGAAATTTACAGACGAGACTCGAGGAAATTTCAAGCCGTGTACACAGGATCACTATTGAGGGCGAAGAATCCCTCATATAGAGAAAAGATAAGGTCAGTCAGAAGAAAAGAGAGAGAGGGAGAGAGAAAGAGAGGTTACATTACATCATATTTTATAGAGTACACTAAATGCTGTAATTTGGTACTGGCCCGTCCTACACAACTTGGAGACTTCGTATCAATGAAACTACTTATATGTACTTATCTACGTGTTGAGATCTACAACATACTAAATTTAAAAAAACATACGGAAGCCATTTCCCATAAGCTGTCTGCAGGGGTTTTTAATGTGAAAAGAACGTACAGCATGTTTGTGCAGAAAATAAGATTCCATAAAGTCATTAGCGTGCTGGGAAAGATGATGGCAAAATGAGAAGTGTAAGTTGAGTACCGGGTACAAACAGGGTACTCGGTGCGTCCCTAACACTTCGGAAGAAACTTTCTCGTGCCTGACTATGGATGGAAAGTGAAAACATTTCCTCCTCGTAGACGCAGCGGTAGTATCAAGAGGTTGGGTTGGGGCGCGCAGCCTCCAACCGTTGAAGGCGCGAATTGTTTGTCTCGAGACCACGCTAGACGACAAGGTGTGTTTTTGGAAAATGTATGTTGAGCCCAATCCGTAAAAGGTATAATCGCCGGCACTGACTATTTTACAATGCAGTTTCAAACAAAATGCACATCATTATCACTGTTTGTTCTCTACAAGGTAGCAGAATTAGACTTTTACTATGACATTTGGTCTTTGTCTTCCATCATCTATTTTTTATTGCAGCCGCCATTTTACTTTTTGCACAGCTGAATATAAGTGTTTAATTACGAATTGAAAATATCTGCCATACATTAATATTGTGCTGTACTATAACTGTTTAAAAAACAGTATTTCCTAAACATGCCTCGAAATTATCAGAGTATTTTTGTTCCATATCACCAACTTTGCGGGCAAAACCCTTTTTACCTGCCTATGGTTATGTCAAATCTAGGGATTACTAGTGACTTCTCTAATTTTCCTAAGAGGATGTTTCCGTTTGCGTTTACTGCTGAGCCTGGTCAAAAAAATGAACAATGGCTGTTGTGTTCAAACACATTCCACTTTTTTTATTGTAAAAACGAAGGAATAAAAAAGGGAAATAGGAAAAAGAAGTATGAGTCTTTATGTCGAACAACCTAGAGAAGGTTGGAGAAGTTGACGAAACATATTCTGGTTCCCTAACGGACAGTTTGTCCAATTGATTTTTGAAATTACAAGTTACGACATTGAATTTGGCGGGGAAGCTACGAATTGCTGCGCACTTGGTCCACTTGAGAAGCCACGTTGTTGAACCTTGAAGCCACGGTCTGTGATATTGAAGTTGGTGTGGAAGCCATGAGTTTCCACGTGAGTTTGTCTTTGGAAGCCAGAAGCCACATATCGAGGAGTAACAGGTGGGAGCTATCCTTTTTTCCTGTTCCAGTTTGCACCTTAAGACTGCTTTAATCCGTGGGTAAAATGGAGGACAATGCATTGGAAGGGAAAAGACTAGTGAAAAAAATTGGTGACTTTTGGAATTTAAAACAATTGAAGGCTAGACTGATTGATGCGACAAAAGTTCCTAGTAGAGCAAATCTAATAGCGGTAGAGAGTAGAGAGAATTGAGATTCTTCACATATTGAAGGATGGTTTTGAAAATATTCAGGGTTCAAATAGTAGAAAGAGATTTTTTCTTGTATTCAAGTGAAATTAAAGAAATTTTAGAGCAACGGATGGGTCAGACCCGAATTGTTAATCTTTCTCAGTAGATGAATTTTCTGTTTTTCTCTCTGGACCACAATTTTCTTCGATACCGGTCCCCAAATTTAATGGAAACCTTGATGATTGATTATTTGTTCGAGATGCATACTTATCTCTTATCCGTACAAATAATGGCCATAGGTATATTAAAAAATTTTATTTTTTGAAGTCCTCATTGGTTGGAAATGCTGCGCAGGTGATCAAGTAGGTGATGGTACATTTAACATAACCACATCTTTAGGGGTTATTGCAGGTTTAACGTGTACACAACAGTGCAATATGTAATTCTGCACAATAAAAATCTTGGATGAAGCACATTTAAAAGGAAATTTGTGTTTCTAAAACATCATTTCCAGCAATAACTTGATGTCAAAGGCATCACAAAACAAGTGACACTGGAGAATAAATCACAGGAAATCGATCACAGGACAGAATGAATGCGAATTTATACATCACTGCATTCTATTTTTATTTGATTCATTATGTTGTTTTAGAAAATACTATTTAAGTTACTGTTTTTGTTTTTGATTATTTATCATGCTATTTCAGAAAATATTGTTTTATTTTATTTATTAGCCTATTTTTCTTAATTTTACAAAATTAAATTTTTGTTTATCCATTTGTCGTCTTTTCCCTATCATTGCTACAAGATACTGTTTTAGATTATTTATTCACTCATTTCTAGCAAATTTACCTTTTCAAATATTTTATATTCATTATCATTAATCCTGTTGTCTATTCTTTGTTTTGTATTTGACTTCAAGGTATCAAGGTATTGCTGGAAAATGGTATGTTGTAATAACAAATTCTGCATCTGATAGCAGTAGGGGTAAACGATAACGTTTTATATGCTTCTGCTCCTATAAGACTGGCATTCCTAGGTTCACTAGGCCACTGAATGACCTCTTGGAATACATCACTTATCATTTTCAGATGCCATCTTCATTTGAAGACTCTCGTTACTACTTTATAATCGTAGAGTATAAATAATGGCACTGGTGACTGGGAGTACATTGAACTAAAAACGATTTGTGGTAAATTCGTTTTCTTTTTCGTCTATCTCGGGAAATACTCTGATTGCGAATTTTTCTAACTGGCATTTTTTTGGTAAGGGTCGAATTTAAACCACCCGGTATAACTGACGTATTTGCCTTAAGTCTGACAGGTTGATGATTATCTGATTTTTAAACTATCAAACTATTTTTGCCTGTACACTTAGATATGCCTCTTTTATCAGGGGGTGCTGGTAGTAACAAACAGCATGTCACCACAAAGAATACAGCAAAGCTTGATCGTGAGACTGAAGAACTGAAACACGAAACCATTCCATTGGACGTTGGCAAGTTAATTCAGCAAGGGCGTCAAGCTAAAGGCCTCAGCCAGAAGGATCTTGCTACAAAAATAAACGAGAAACCACAGGTATGTTGGCTCCTGTATGTTGTTTTCATACAATGTGATCCATTATATGTTTGAAATGTTTAGACACTGTGGATGTTTCAAGAACTCTTCTTCAGGTTCTAATTGGGCAGAGTGAGATAGTTCATGACATTTCGAATGAAATTAACTCTTCAATGTTTTAAAAAATCCCCGCAGTCAGCATCTGATAGCAGTAGGGGCAAAAGACACGATTTCTGTCGTAAATTCCAGTGATGATGCTATAAAGGATATCATCGTTTTATATGCTTCTGGTCTTATAAGACAGACGTTCCTAGTTTCAAAGTGCCACTGAATGTGCCCCCTTAACATTTTCAGCTACCATCTTCAAATATATTTTCAAATGGACACCTCATTTTGAAGATTCTCATTGGTACTTTATAATCCTAGAACATAAAAGGCGGACTGGTGAGTGGGCGAGCATTTTTGTACATTGAATGGCTTATAACTCAATAATTAATCATTAAAATGCTATGTTATGGATTGGTAAATGTTTTTCTTCTAGAAACGCATATCTGAATGTGTACTGAAATACGGGATATTTCGTTTGAGAAAATTGACGAAATTTGACACGAAGTAACACCAAAGTATTTATTGTCATTTCCTCAAAAGTTGGAAGTTTTAATTCAAATACTTGACAACTATACAATAGTCAATATTTTCAATATCCCCTAGGTATTTGTTTAGCTATAAGCAAGTTTTTATTTTTTCTAGATACAAATTTGCAGCAGCTGCACTGCATCTCGCTGTGCCTTAAATTCTGTATCTTGCAGAAAATTTTTCTAACTATAGTTTCAATAACTTCTGCCAATACTGTTACTTTATGACATTTTCTTCTATAGAAAAAAAACATGACAATAAATCACTTTCAGACCATTAAAGTGGTGTTTACCCCTTAAATGGAGTGTTTCACATTTCATCACATATCCTGATAGCTCTCTCCAAGAGAATATTGATGTACTATGCCACGTTGATGTTGATAGGATGAGTTATAAGCTTAAGATTCAATGTGAAAATATGCTCAAATTCAACAGACTGACTGTTCACTGTTTTGAAAGACAGTGATTTATGTTTTAGAGTTATAAAGTACTCTTTATGAGCTACAAAATGAGGTTTCATATGCTTCCCATTCAATTTAAAAAAGAGGTCGGTGACTGTGTCTGGGATCCGGCCGTGTGAATTCCGTCATTATAACGTAGCCGAATGATCGGAATATGTGCGGCGCGATCTTCGACACGGCCACTGACAGGTTAGCGGCTGCTGTACGAACAGGCCTTACATTATAATACTAAAATATGCTTCAATTTCATCACTTCGAATTCCAGTTTGCTAATTTAACACGTTTAAACAATAACTGGGGTCAGAGTGAGGACCCTTTTGGATATCATGGTATGCTCTTGGAGCTATTATCTAGATTTAAAAATATAAAAAAATAAAGAGGTACTCACCGTTTATTTGCAGAGAAATGTCAGTCACTCATAAGTTATAATTATAAGTTGCCGCCGACGGTAAAATGTTTCTCCGAAAGTCTAGGTACTGTAAACCATCCAGCCGACTCGGGAGAATAAAATGTCAAATCAGTCTACCATTCACCATGTCAGCCAATATTCAAAGCAATATTCAAAGCAAATGGACTGTGTGAGGATTCAATGACCTCACATGACAGTATTTCGGAGGTTATTCACACCGTTCCGTGTGACTAATATGGACTGCAACAATCAGTCACAAAAACGCACCCTTGGACAAAAATCCTCAGCTTGGAGAGCTTATACAAAAGCGTACAACCCATTGTCACGCAGCGTTTGCCACATAGTTTTGTACTTGTCTAGCCATTTCCGTAGTGCTTTTTGAATGATTTTCTTCTGCAAGATTATTTGTTCATTTTGCACCATTTGGGGTTGTTTACGTCTGCCACCGTGCCCACCTCGGTATTCCTTCATCCCTCCTGCACAAGTTAAAAAATTCACACGGCTCTGAAAGATAATGTTTGAGAAAGCGATATGCATACACTCGCGAAGCCTCGGTAGCATTGTGAAGACACGATCAATGAAAATCATGTCGACAAGTTTGATATTGCTGTACGAGTCTGCCAATTTGGTGTTTGTCAAAGCGATTGTTAAATAAATGTCAAGTTTACCTACGCTGCGGGTGCCTCGGCTGAGCACTGATGCGCGTCGTGCCTTTTCGCTCTTGATGTGATCAAGATAGAGGAGTTGATTAGGTTTGGTTTAGGTTTTATTGATTTTGTGGAACCTAATATTTTGGTTATCATAAGATGGTGTATATGCTACTAGGAAAAACCACATTTTTTCAAGATCTATACGCCGTACAAACGTAAGTCCCAACTTGACGGACATCCTGTATATACACAAGAGTATGCAAAAACCTTGAAAACCTTTTTTTTTTTTATAACACGATGTCGTACACAATATGCCTTGATTTAATTGTGGATCTATCTCCGTGCGGAAATTTAAACTGAAGCTTAAAGCAGTAATTGCGAAATTTTCGAAAATGAGATGTTATGTTTTTTGGACGTTGTATTATGTACATTACGAAAAACATGTCACTCATTTCAGTCGGTCTGTCTGTCTATCTGTCGGTCTGTCCGCTAATCTTATAACCGCCTATAACTTAGTGCGGATTTTGATCAAAGTTTTACATATGCCAAGGACGCAAAAGGTTTGCAGTTTATGAAAAGCGGCCCAGTGGCGACAAAGAAAAAGGCCAAAAATGGAGAAGAATGAAAATTGCTCAAACTTCGTTTTTTGTCATTTCAGAGGAACCTCATCATTTAGAAATTATATTAGACATATTTCTCACATCATAGATTTCTCCGTACATTAGCTCTTAAAACTACAATATTCTCAGCATACGGATCGCTGAAGTACCGGTCGCGCATTTGGAGCAGTACAATGGCTGATAGAAGCGCTTCGTGACAAGGAATTACATGTTTTGTGTTAACTCCTTGACGTTTTGTGATGATTAGTTGGGATGATGATAATTAGTTGACAAAAAATCGCCTAACCTCAAACACTTTCATGAGTTGATGTTATCAGTTGTGTTTATCAGTTTCGCAAATCTGTCCTGCTTATGCTGTTCTACTTATATATTGAAGACTTAAAAGATGTGATCAACTACAAAACGAGTATGAGAATTATGATTGTTTATATGCTGTAAAAAGCAAGGCTTATAAAAACAGAAAAGCCAAATAAGCTGCGTTGGATAAAATCAGAATGACATTGGATCCTCCACTAGAAGTTCTTTATTCAGTATATGGAACACGCCCGTGCCGTGGTTTCTCTCACTGATCCATTTTCTGCACCAAATACTTTTACGTTTACTTCGTTTTCTCATGAAGTGGGCAGGTACAACGTAGATCGCTGCTGCCGCAGTCGTATATAATATATGTGAATTACGGGATGGCCCCATATTCTACAATTTGACCATTCGTTTAATAATGAAGTAGCAAGCTGCAAAGTAAAGTGTGGTTAGAATGACTTTAACGTGCTGAATGACAGAAGTTGACAGTTATAGTTTTTTCTAGCAACTGTGTATGATTTCTTACGAAATTTAGTATAAAAATTTCTTTACGTATCTGACAAGATTGTAATTGATAAACAAATTGGGAATTAAATTCAGTAACGAATTTTTCTGATATGTTTGGTACCAAATTATAAACAAAATTTTGTATCGTAGCAGACGGCCTTTACACGCTATGACCGCGCTGCCACGTCGGACCGGGTTAAGGCGGCGTTGCCAGTTGCACTACCTGTATGGACCTGATTCAACAGATTTTTTTCCCAGAGGGTCTAGTTTGTGCTGAACATAATCCATTATGAACTGATAACGGCGTTGCGTGGAAAGTGCACAGCCAACGTACATGACGTCGTTTTTTCATGTACTGTCAATTTTTCTAATTTATATGTTTTAAAATGAAAGTAAAAAAGAAGTTATTACCTCTCTCCTATTATAAGATTAGGTTGTATTGCTTTTTGCAGGTGATTACAGACTACGAGGCCGGCAGAGGAGTTCCAAACAATATAATAATCGGAAAGATCGAGCGGGTGATTGGTCTAAAGCTGAGGGGCAAAGATCGCGGCAAACCACTTCTTCCCCCAGGGGACAAGAAGTAAGCTAGGTTCATCCTGGGGGCGTCCAAAACTACTTTGCTGTTTTAGGTTTAGGTGCGTTTTTTTGTTGTGTATGTTAGATCTATGGAGTAGAAATTGTGGCTGCATCATTTAGGCCAAGGTTAGACATTGTTTCTGCCACTTCACATGCCATAGAGAGGAACGCACGCTTTTTGTGCGAGAACTAGAACGTTTTACAAAGATCACATTGGACTTATTTTGAAGCAATGATATCAGAATCATTCCAAAGGCTATCTTCTATATTATTTCGTGGCCTCTCCCATGGATGTTTACATGTATACAGCTAGTCTTATAAGAAATTGACTATCGAGTCTAAGATTACCACTTCGATGATAGAAACCATACAAGTTCTGAAAAGTTTTTTTTAATAGTTTAATGTCCTAATTATCCCATGTGTTGATATAACGCAATACTGTGTTCTATTTTGGCTTCAAGATGCAGCTCTGATTTGCTGCTTGTAGAAATCAGATAGTAAATGCAAGATTTCACTTAAATCACGTATATTTGTAGTACTTCTACATTCTTGTGGGAACTCGCAAAATGTTTGTTATGGTCTTTACTTGTAGAATTTTATATCCCAATCAATGTTTACTACTTTTGAATGAATTTTGAGAACTGTTGTAGATATCTCGTACTAAGAAATAAAAAATATTTCATCATCAGTTATTAACATACTCGTTTTTTGTTATGGATCTATATATGATATAAATGTAAGTGATAAAACTGAATATAATCCGGGGTATTTTGTAAAATTAGTTGTCAATGTGTTTATATGATTTATAACTTTTTGAAGTAATACAAGCGTAAATATTTTTCCTGAACCTCATCCAAATCCAAGACATAGTGGATGTAAACACAAACATGCACTGTAGATGCGCTGATGACCTGAAGAACCGGATTGCTTGATTGCAGTCCTGTTCTACTACTGGTCGCGGCGAAGCATGCCGTATATCTCAAATTTACCAATGTTCACTGACCCGTCCACCTGTTTAAGCGATCACTTGATCGTGCTTCCTATGATTGACACCATCTTGGATTTGGGTCAGGTGTAGATGAGTTTTATTTTTATTCCACATACAAAGGTTCAATTTTTAGGTACCTATGTGTTTAACATTTCAGGGAATGTTAGTATGCTGAGTACCAGTGGTCTACATTTTTCATATACTTTTTCCAATGACTTACCTTTTTTGTCATGTTTCTTTATTAATTGCAACAACAGTTTAGTATGTTGACTAGTAATATTTAACCTCAAACGCAAGTTAGCGGTTGGTGCTGCAGATACCACTTGATCGGCTTATTCTGTTATTCATGTGGCTATTTTGTTTAGTATTTTAACAGCAGGTATTATCTCTAACTGTCCCTATCTGCTTGAGTTAAAGTACTTCCACGAAATTCAACTATCTAGGAATAATTTGAACCTGAAATAACCGTTTCTGATTATTTGGTTCACACTGTGGACGCGTTTTTCTTAGTTCCAGGTTAACTGCAGATACCCTCGCTGAGCTTAGCATAGCGGTATTTTGCAAGATGTTTCCCTGCGTGTTTGAACTCCTGTTTATGTATTTTCATCCAGTCTCCATCTGCCGGTCTGCTCCAGAAAATATTATTGTGATGACCAAGACATGTTACTCACATGATACTTAGAAGTATTGGCCAGAATCTCCTGGGCCAACAACGCACTCCACACGTTTCAATATTCTCGAGACGCACCAGGTTATCTGATTTATCGTACATGACATAATTCTTTTCAGATGTAATGAGGTCATAGTCGGCAACTCGAACCACAAATGTTGAAAATAGACTTTAGTAGCATTTCTGACACCTCGGCGCTCCTTTTCAGAGCTCTAAATAAAAACATTGGCAAGTGAACATAAGGAAATATGCATTGCAGGACCGCTGCCAGAACACCCTGGTTGACCATTATGCAATTTTGACTACCAGTGCTGCATTTGAGTTTTTAATGGATCTGAAATGCGTTAATTAGCACTTTGGCACATTTTCTTTGACTTGTGAGAAATGAGCCTGCTTTGCAGACAGGATCAAATGATGAAAAAAATCCTGAAAAAATGTCACCAGTAGCATTTGGAGGATATTAATTATAACTTTTCTGGGCCATACTGAAATTTCCCTATATTTTCTTTAATTCTACATTTAACTAGTCTTGATTGACAATGGCAGTTAGAGCATTAAGTTAAAAATGGGAATTTACGGTATCAGGGTACCTGCAGCTTTTTGCATATCTTACGCGAACACTAAGACACTGAAATTATCTAGAGGTTATTTTGTATGACTTTGCTATCACGAAGTTTTCCGTAACTATGGGCGGTTTATTTGGCCATTTTTCCTATAAGCCTGCTTGAATATGTTGCAATGGATTTGACAACGTATAAAATTATTGTTCAGTTGATTGCTGTGCGTACATTAAATCGCCTATTTTTTCACGGAATATTTTCATCGATACATTACTTGGAAATATATCTGTAAAGTGGATTGAGAAGTAAAATATAACTCTAGAAAAAGCAGTACAGTCTCAAAAGTAGCAATTTTCCACAAATTCTTGACAATGACAATAACTCGAAAACGGTGCACAGTGTACAATCGGACCGTCTTGGAAGCAGATGCCCTGAGTTTTTGAGCTGAAGTTTGATAAATTCTTGAGGAAAAATAATCATTACTGCAAAGTATGTTTTCCATGAAAAGATTCTCTTTACTGAAGGTAAGGTAGTAAGTTGATCTGATATTTATTCAGATGTGTCGAATGAACACTCTTTATACTCGTTGCAGGACTAAAGATAAAATTTTAGCTGTGTAGGTTTTCTATGCGACAGTCTTACAAAGAAATCACAACGCCGTTCCAGAAATTGTTGGTTGACCGAGTCATGTAGCTAGAAGTATTGACCAGAACCTCCTCGTCTAACAACCCACTCCACACGATTCAAGATTCTGGAGAGGCACAAGGATATCTGCTTATTCCTTCCACGACATAATTCTTTTCAGATGTAATGAGGTCATAGCCGGTAACTCGATCCACATATGTTGAAAATGGATTTTTAATGGATCTCAAATGCGATAAAATTAGTACATCGGCACATCAATGGTAGCATTTTATTTGTCTTGTGAGAAATGAGCCGGCGAAGTGCAGACAGGATGTAATGAAGAAAAAACAGAAAAAATAGTAACCAGTAGCATTTGGAGAATATCTATTATAATGTAACTATGGGCACTTTATCTGCCCATTTTTTCTATAAGCCTACTTGAATATGCTGTAATATATTTGACGACATATAAAATTACTGTTCAGCTGATTGCTATGCATACATTAACTGGCGTATTTTTTCACGGATACTTTTCAACAATACACTGTTTGGTGGTAATATATCCGTAAAGGGGATTGAGAATATATAACTTCAGAAAAAATAGTACAGTCTCAAAAGTAGCGATTTTCCACAAATAAAAAAGGCAACAACTCTGGTTGGAAATGACCCTCCCCTATAAACCCCTTTCGGTTGATCGATATTTGGGACATTCTATATAGAAATGGTTAGTATCTCTCTTGGAAGCAGATGTAGAGTCCTAAATTTTTGAGCTGAGGTGGGATAAATTCTTAAGGATAAATAATCATTACTGCGAAGTATGCATTCCATTAAAAGATTCTGCCCACTGCAAAGATGACATATTTTGCTATGTCGGTCTTCTATGCGACAATGTTACAAAGGATTCACTACGCCGTTCCAGAAATATTCCTCGAAAAGGAGGAAAAGCTGTGTGAATTCTTATCGCAAAGATACTTACGTAGTATCACCAGACTAGTGTGGGTAGTATAAAGTAACTATCAAAATGTTTTAATAATATATTCTTGGTACATTGTGACAGGCAAAGCTGCAATTGGTTCCGACGATATGCATACTCTTCTTAAATCTCTGTCGGCGCTAGTTCAGTATTATGCAATCTTCGACTATGTGTTGTGTCTTCATTGTATATGAAAACTAGAATGCATCTCAAAATAACAAAATAACTATGTTGTTTGCCTTGTGGACGCGTTTTTCTTAGTTCCAGCTTAACTGCAGATACCCCCTCTGTGCTTACCACGGCGGTATTATGCAAGATGTTCCAACATCCTACCTGCGTGTTTGAACCTCTCATTTATTTTTCTTCCAGTCTCCATCTGCGGGCCGGTACTTGCTTCGCAAGCACCAAGTTATCTGCTCCAGATAATTTTGATTGACCGAGTCATGTAGCTAGAAGTATGTTATTGACCAGAATCTCCCCGACTAACAACACACTCCGCACGATTCAATATTTTCTGCTTATTCCTTCATGACATGATTCGTTTCAGATGTGATGGGGTCATAACAGGTCACTCGAACCACATATTGAAAAATGGACTTTACACCTCGGTGGTCCTTTTAAGAGCACTGAGTAAAAATACTGGCAAGCGAACATAAGGACATTTGCGTTGCAGAACCGCTACCAGAACACTGGTTGACGATCATGCAATATTTAACTTCCATTGCTGCATTTGCATTTTTGATGGATCTGAAAGACGATAATTAGTACTTCGGCACATCAAGGGTACTATTTTGTTTGTCTTGTGAGAAAAGAGCGGCGGAGTGCAGTATCTATGAAGACAGGATCCAATGACAAACTATAAGAAGAACCTGAAAAGAAAAACAAGTCACCAGTCGCATTTGGGGAATATCAATTATAACCTTTCTGGAAGGATACCCAAATATGATCACCGAGTGCTCGAGGTTTCTCCTTTGCTTACCATGAATGTTCCTTAATTCTACATTTGGCTAGTATTGGTTGGCAACGGCATTTGGAGCATTATGTTGAAAAAAGTGAATCTACGAGATTTTGTCTATCTTGTGCAAAAACTGTTTTGGACATTTAATTATCAAAAAGGTAATTTATAAGGCAGACCGGAAGTTTTTCGTAACTGTGGACGCACTCTGCCCATTATTTTTTCCTATAAGCCTATTTGCTGTAATATTTTTGACAGTAGATAAAATTACTGTCCACCCGATTTCTATGCCAACATTCACAGCCCTAATTATTCACTAATACATCAATCAATTTGAAAGCTTTATTTTATATAGATTATGTTACATATGATCCCTATGGCTGATGTATAAACAATGAAAGACAAAATTATATTGCTCCTGTATACATTCAAAATATGTACTTCTTAGGAAAGGGCTGAAATACTAGGATGATAATGGCCGCAGGATAAAACCCTTTTACAAAGTATTATCATTATGAGATACCGTGCTTAGGATGCTCGAATTTTGGAGGCTGTATCAGACATCCCTGGCTGATTGAATGATCTACTTTGGTTAAAATTGGCTTTACTGATTTGTCTTCTCCGGCCTTTTTAAGAAATCTTATGCGCTTCATCCAGGCGTTGTTGTCACACATCTGCGCATGTCATCTGGGATGCAGTAGGTGAACTGACCAGCTCTTTTATATTAACATATATATCTTCCTAAGACACTTTTCTAATTTAAGAATCACAATTTTACTTATACGTGGAAACTTCATTAGGTCCGTATACTAGTACCGGGTAGATGCATGGTTCAATTATTTTCAATTTCACTTCTATAGAAACATTCGATCTGAAGCCGATGATTGGAGACTGAAGAAGCTGCTCGATTACCCTTAAGGATTCTTTCTTTAATGAGGCCGTCCGAGCTTACTGTGTTATTAAGATTGAGCCCAAGGTATCGTATTTGATCGGGATTCAACGATACATCATTTGGAAACATTATTCTGTAAAGCGTATAAATAAAATACAAGAAAAATAGTACAGTATAAAAAGTAGCGATTTTCTACAAAATCTTGGAAAAACGTCGGTAACTCTAAGACGGCGCACATTCGGAAATGACATAAAGGTTTTTCTGATTGAAAATGACCCCCCTTATCAATCCATTTGGGATACCCTGAATAGTTAGTGAGTCTTGGAAAGAGAGACAGAGTCCTGAGTTTTTTGAGCTGAGATCTGATAAATTCTTGAGGATAAGTAATAACTACTGAAAAGTATATATGCCAGGAAAAGATTATGCTTAATGAACTTCAGTTGATGTGATATTTATTCAAAATGTATTTCCACTAACACTCTTTATACTTGTTGCACGATTAAATTAAAAGTCTTTTGCTATGTAGTATAATAATATAGAACTGGATAACTTTGAGGGTTCAAGAGGAAGTTGCAAATTGGAAAGACCAACTTCTTCAATAGGAGTACTTCGTCGTTTCTTCGGCTTAGTAAAAATCCTCAGAATGATCTTGTAGGCAAAACAGCACTACTCCATACAACAGGATTGTCCAAGAACTGGGTTTGTGTGAATGGATGTCAACACGGTTTTCTATTAATCTTGTGTTCATTTTGTGAACTTCATCAAATTCTATTTGGTCCAGATAAATTCTGAAGTCATTCGGCTTGGCAGCAAATGAAGTGTTGGTATCAGTATTTGGAAAAATAATTGGCTGCTTTCCAATCGATATAGGTTCTTGATTGGCGATCAGGTCTTGATTTAGCTTCAGTGTACAACCCACTGGAATTTCGGCTAAGTAGGATCCCAAAACGTTGACTGTTTCTTGGCCTTTTTGACAGCTTAATTTAATGGTGGTTTCATCGGGTACAAGCAAGACCCATTGTCCGGAATCGTGTAGTTTCTTCATTTCTGGCTCTGTGATTGCTTCTCGGCAGGTAGTGGGAGGGTTTTTAGCAGTTCATTGCATATGTAGCGTTTTGCGACCGTTTCCGGGCATAAATCTCCCGCAAAAGCAAAGTACAACTTATTCTTGACAAGATATTTTCCAGAAGGGATCATTACTTCGAACAAACCCTTATGAAAGATTGGAATTGAACATAAGTGATAATAATTAAATTGGAATGCATAAACAATAGGAATTTGAAAAATATATGGTATTTTTCTATCAACTGTATAACAGCTGATTCTATTGAGCTTTTCAAAAATTGGAGTATTATCCAAAGTACCGTCTATAGACAGTTGACTTGTGAATAGTCTTGATACTACTAAATTAAGTGCTTGGTAGCAAATATCTTGGTTTGATTACAGTGGGCTGCATAATTCCCAATTTTGCAAAAGTAAGTGAGTTTTCTATATCTTGGAGTACTGAAATTATGATGATAGATATTAATGATCTCGCAGATTGTATCTCTCAATAAAATGACATTTTCTACGTAAGCTTGTTTATCAAGCTATCTGTTGAAAGCTGATTGATTTAGGATTTAAAATGCTTGTTATAATTTTGGAAATAGCTTACATTGTCTTCAGATGTGACCAATTGTAAAGTTTGGCTGAGGGAGTTGGGTTTCATACAAATAATTGTTGTACCCCAGGGCTCTCGTAGTCCGCACAAAAATGTTTTCAGAGTTAATTCTTGATATAAATTTATTTTTAACACTTTTGCTTCTTCAGACTGTTCATGTAAGTTTATATGGCTGCATAGCAGATTAAAAATGTGAAGACACTTATCAAATTTTTGAGACGTTTCATTAGGCATTTGCCTCAACATAACTAAATCACGATTTAGGC